AGACGCGCTCGTTTTCTCAGACCCATGCAGAAAAAGGCTTCCCAAAACAAAGTGATTGGGTTAATCTTTTTCACGTTTCCTTGGTTGGTAGATGCACTGGGGACCTGATTATAGCACTTAACACCTGTAAAAGTCAGATTTTCATGATATGTCACCTTTAAGTGGTTTATTGATTTTATTAAATTTCAGCAACACACATGATAAAAGAACTATTAATCATTAAAAATCTTTCTTTGTTTTTATGAGTATATCAACAATTTCTGGAATATTGTTGACTTGATTGCGCAGACACTATTTGAAGAGAACTGAACTGAGCTGGATTATGACATCACTGAATCAACGATGAACCGACTTTAACTGATAAACTGGCTGTTTTCTATTATCAGCACACAATCTGTATTGTATTAAGCGCTGTATAAATAAAGGCTTGATTTGACTTGACTTTTACAGTTTTGAATGTTTGATCATCTAATTAAGAAATAAGACAAGAGAGGCTGAATTTTATATTTAAGTATTTTTTTAAATGTTATTTTATTTATCAGATACTTAAAGATTCATAAGTAGATCTATTGATGACAGGTAAACTAAGCTGTTTCTGATATAGTTGATATACACCAATCAGCATCCAGGACTAGAACTATTCATTTTATAAAGAGCCAAAACTATTGTTTTCTATAGGAGAATATTCATAATCGCTACTTCCAAAAACCACATGAAATTATTTACAGCAATAGTGCAAATTTCAAGGGTTTCTTCTGCCAAAATTCATGTTATAGCTGTGAATAAATGTACAGTATGCTGATCTTTCTACAGGATTCCCTGTGCTTATGTCTTATTTCTGCCATGCAATCCTTCTTTGCTTTGCTGGTTTAGATCAGTGCTGTGACAGGTGTCCATATAACGCTCTCTTTCTCTATAAGCTGCTTTAATTCGCTCTGTACATGTATTTCCCGCTGGCTGAGGTCCGTGTGCTTGTAAAATCACAGATCTCGTGTCTGGAGGAGTAACTGCTGTTCTCCCGTCAAACCTCAAACCACCTGTCTAAATTCAATGCCAAATAAACGTATCACAAAACACCCATATGTTGCATGAAATGTTAAACAGGCTGAATTTTTGCTTGTAGAGACTAATAATAATACAATATCAAAGCGAGTTGCCAAACCTTAAAGAAAGTCATAGTGGACCCGTCCCTCACGGCGCCATACTCAATCTTGGTCTGTTTGGCCAGATCATCGGCCGAGTCTATGGGCGAATCCATTCGCTCCACGGTGAGGAAGGCGGCCAGGTTAGCCGTGTAGGACGAGATGATGATGAGGGTGAAGAACCACCAGATACCTCCAACAATCCTGGTGGACAAAGCCTTAGGCATCAACTCCGATCCTGACCACGAGAAATGTTCAACCAGTTAACAAGCGAATGGTTAAAAATGCTGAAAAAAATCAGGATATTTTTTCAGAATACACTAATATATGCAAACAAATCAGGTAGAAATAACTATTTATATAGCTAGTTATGTTGAAATTAGTTGGAACAGTTATCAAAGTTCCTCTAACTCAATGTAATTTATTGGTTGAACATGATTTCATTAGAGGTTATCATAACATAAAAAGATTCATGCAAACGGTTTTTTTTATTTTTTTTTATTTTTTTTTTTAGCCAAAACGTGTTTTTAGAGTGTCAGCCAAAAACGATAACTTCACTAAAAGTCCTATTTTAGCTGCAAATGCTCAGAAAGAAGTATGAGTTAAAAAAATATATAAATTTGCTAAATGAAAACACATTTGCATTTATGCTAAATAAACAGCTGAAAAAAATCAGGATTTTTTTTCAGGTTTTTTTTTTTTTTTTTACAATTATTGTGTTTTTACTTATGTGTTCACAAATCCCAAAAATAAAAATTATTTAAATAAATGTTAAAAAACTAAAATACAAAGTAAAATAAAGATAAAAGTAAAATGCAGAATAAAAGCTGGTAACATTTAAATTAACTACTTTTATTCAGTCAATATTATTTAACATCACTGAATCAACCTAAATACACTAATTTATGCAAACAAATCAGGTAGAGATAACTATTTATATAGCTATTTATGTTGAAATTAGTTGGAACAGTTATCAAAGTTCCTCTAACTCAATGTAATTTATTGGTTGAACATGATTTCATTAGAGGTTATCATAACATAAAAATATTCATGCAAACTGTTTTTTTTTTTCAATGACGAACAGCACACAGCTGACCCCGAGGCAGGCCAGCAGCACGTACATCCAGATGTCCGGAGAGAGCGGATTCAGGAAGGAGAAGACACCTGGATTGGTGCCATTGGGTTTGTGGTAGAGGATAGAGATTCCCAGGGTCATGAAGGGCTTAGCTATTTATGTTGAAATTAGTTGGAACAGTTATCAAAGTTCCTCTAACTCAATGTAATTTATTGGTTGAACATGATTTCATTAGAGGTTATCATAACATAAAAAGATTCATGCAAACGGTTTTTTTTATTTTTTTTTATTTTTTTTTTTAGCCAAAACGTGTTTTTAGAGTGTCAGCCAAAAACGATAACTTCACTAAAAGTCCTATTTTAGCTGCAAATGCTCAGAAAGAAGTATGAGTTAAAAAAATATATAAATTTGCTAAATGAAAACACATTTGCATTTTAATTAAAATGAGCTGGCCAAGACTGTGTTTTTGAGCTATTACTGTTGGGCAGTAAAACAAGAGCTAATTAACCGCAATCCAACAAGGCATAATAAAAGCATTAAAATTGATCCAACTGGAAGAACTGAATCCAATCTAAAGGTTAAAATGGGTTGAAATGGATTTTACCTGGCAATGACGAACAGCACACAGCTGACCCCGAGGCAGGCCAGCAGCACGTACATCCAGATGTCCGGAGAGAGCGGATTCAGGAAGGAGAAGACACCTGGATTGGTGCCATTGGGTTTGTGGTAGAGGATAGAGATTCCCAGGGTCATGAAGGGCTTAGAAAAATCGATGACTTTCTCTCGCACGTAAGTAATGGTGAGTGGTGCCACGGCCAAATCTGCCACCTGTAATGAAGCCAGTGAGAATTTATACAGGGGAACTCGCTTGACTCTTTAAGACCACATAAAATTACTTGATGAGGAAACTAGCATACAGATCAGCCAGAAAACTTATAATTAAACCTAGAAAGTTGGACTTACATGATCGATCAGCTCTTGGACCATGCCATTCCATTCTCCTTTGTCATTCTGAGCTCCATATTTCCCATCAGACACCAGTTTGACTTCATAGGAGAAGCCCAGGATGTTGGACAACTCCTTCAGGAGATCCAAACAGTAGCCTTCAAACCGGTCGTTCCCATACAGCGGCTTATCTGACTTCTTGTACATCACATATGGGTTTTCCTGCAGGGGCAAAAGTATTATTAGTTGCAGGTGGATGGTCTAGCTGATGTTCTGCATTGGTTGATTGCTACCAGAATTGTGGTGACGATGAGCGTGCGGTTGGCCATGGAGTCCGTCACGTTGGTGTTTTTGTCTTTATTGCTGTCTGTCAGGTTAAGGCCAGTGTTTGAGTTCCACACACCGATCTAAACAGATGCAGAACCACATAAACAAAAAATTGAATCATTCTTATTCTGAACAGAGTTGATTCCAGAGGACAGATTAAGAGAATAATACAGCCCAAAATGAAATATCTGTCATTTACTCATCCTCATGTCATCATGAGTCAAACGGGTGACATGAGCAGGAGTAAAAGATGACCAGAGAGAAATGTGTGTACAATATTGATATGTCTGTGGTTTAAAACATGTTATTGTTAACTAAAACTAAAACTATTAAAAAACAGTAAAAAAAAAAAGAGAGATTAATAAACTCAACAAAAACACGTCATCTTCATTCAAATATAACTGAAAATTATTTGTTAGTAATAAAATAATTAGTAAGTTATGAACGATAGACAGAACGATGGATGGATGGATGGATAAAAAGATAGATAGATAGATAGATAGATAGATAGATAGATAGATAGATAAAAAGAACGATAGATAGATAGATAGATAGATAGATAGAATGATAAAAATAACGATAGATAGATAGATAGATAAAAAGAACGATAGATAGATAGATAGACAGACAGACAGACAGACAGACAGACAGATAGATAGATAGATAGATAGATAGATAGATAATGCACAGAAATGACTCACTTTAGCTTTAGGTCTAATACGGCAAACAAAACAAAACTAAAGGATTAAGGGGAAACAGGAATAAATGCATATGCTGCATTACTAGTGGAGCACAGGAATAGTGCTTTATTGAAGAGAAAATGCATCTAGAAAGTAAACTACCACATATATTAATGTGCAAAAGCAAGTGCTCTATCAGTGCCTTCTTTTACATGACCAATTAATGTAAAGCCACTGAAAGACATCAGAAGCAGTAACTCCTCTGAGATGGTCTCTGTGTGTTTCTGTGCACCATAGTAGCTTCATTCGCTACGCTACGTCACCTCTGTCTGATAGCTGTTGTCACGGAGAGAGTTGTAAAATATGCATTAGGAGAGAGTCCTCAAACTGAGCACTTGGCATGCGATTAGTGCTCATAAACAGATGTTTTATAAAATGAGCTCTCTGCATTGTTGCCTCTATGAGTGATGTGATATTTCATAAATAGATGCAGAGCTCTTAGCTGCTTTATATTGCGTTTGGTTTGGAGTCACCCGCTGAGAGTTTGACAGCATTAGAGAAGGAAATAAATTACGTTTATTTAATGCAATTATAAATAAGTGGTAAAACTAAGTATAATCCGTAACTAAGCCATGAATCTGCCAACATGAGGATATAAGACATAAATAATATCTAGAAACCAGCACAAGAGGTGTCAGCAGGTTGAGGGTCATAGATGGAAAAAGTACCATGGTAATACTGTTTTTAACATAGTAAATAACATAGTGTCATTCAATACCATGGTATGTTTTGCAAGGGGAAAAGGGACTTAAACGTCACATTTCTGACATTCAATACAAACCTTCTTCCATACTTTGTTAAAGCGACCACTTTCCATAAACAGCTTGTGAAAAGGAAACAAAAGCCCAGATTTGACATGCATGACAGATATTGGTTTAGACAGATGCAGATCATGCAAACAGAATTATTTTCTGATTTTACCTTTTCCATCCCATCCTCTTTCAGACTGATGATGTCGAGATCGAAGTCTTTCCTCAGGCCGTCCGTCTTGTTTATGATGATCTGTCCGGTCAGTCCGTTCCACTGAGCCTAAAAGAAGACAAGAGATCTGATTTTATTCCAGAACAGGCGTCTAGATTAAACATGAGGGTGTCATAATGAAGACAGAGATGATAAAACTCTGATTGCTCATTTGCTTTTATTCTGAGTCTCACTTTAGAGGCCAGATGCAGCATTATCGTCATCATTAGCTGAGAATGTGTTAAATGAATGCTCAGCCCAGAGTTTCCAACTTTTCATTGATCTATTAGCTTACACACGTTGTTATGTGTTTTGGGACGCTATCTGCCATTATTTTAATAGTACAGTAAAGTGCAGACAGCAAAGTAAAAGTGAGAGAGAGGGAATGAGATATGTGACAAAATAACCCAGATCAGACTCAAACCTGGGAGCCCATGAAGCAACAACACTTACATACCCACAGTGCCACAGCATTAAATAAATAAATAAAAATAAGTAATTATATTATATTATATTTATTTATTTATTCATTTATTTATTATAAAAAGATGTAATTATTTTTTAAATTTCTGTTATTATTCTATTTTTATTAAATTATTTCTAAATAAATAAATTAAATACATTAATTAATGAAATAAGAATAAGATTAATGTATTTTATAAGTTTTATTTATTTATTATAGAACATTATATAAAACATTTAAATATTTTCTAACAAACACCTTGTATTTATATTAAATAAATAAATATATTTATTAAATACGATTATTATTAATTTAATGATTTAAAAAAATAATAATAATAAATTAAATGCATTACAATTTTTTTTCCTAACAAACACTTTTTAGTTTAAGGACCTTGAGCAAAGCATCCGTTCCCAAAGGCATTGCTACAAACCCCATATTAACCCAATTGTATAATAAGAAAAACACCCTCAACAACATCTCAACAAATTAATCAAATAATTTACTCAAAAATATAAAGGGGTTTAATATTACATAATGTTATACAGCCCCATTCATCCAGTGACAAATAGCTAAGAGAAATTATTAATAGTCGCTTGATCAACAGAAGTGCCCAGAGCAATAGATCAGCTGGGTTCTGCAAGGAGTTGTTAGTAAATGGACTCTATAATCAAGCTCACAGAGTGAATATGTGAGTTCAGTCTGAATGGTCTCTGTCCAACACATGATTCAGTGGATCTTTCACCCAGAACATGTGAATTTATGAGGATGCAGCACTCATATAGTCAACAGACATTCTCTAAAGCCTCGTGTGCAAATCCAGTGGATTATTTCTTTAATTTGCTGTTCTTTAAGAACTAAAACGGGGTGGATAGCATTCTTAATCTTCACATACAGTAGTGGAGCTCAGACTCGCTTCATATACTGAGGTCACATGACCTTTGTCCAGATTTGTTCTTATTCTCTTAGTGATTATTCTCTAGTGTAAATCTCACTTGAGCCTTTCTTTCTCTCACGTCCTGCTCAGATCACTCATACAGTGAGCTCCAATTACCAAAAGCATGCAAGATTAAACACACCAGACTCAGTAGTGCTTAATGTAGACTGTATTAACTGTCCTATTCAAGCTCACTAAGTTCAAGAATTTGAGATCATCATCAACTGTGGTCAAGAAGCCAAGTCATCTATCAACTTCAGAGATGCGTTAACCAACAACGAGTTCAGTGAAAGTGATTCCTTTTGACATATCTGTAGTGCACTGGAATGAAAATTGAATGTCATTTTTGTAATCTGAAATAAAAAGACAAACTAAAATTATTGGAAAAACAAGCTACTTTGAAAGAGTCTGTATTGTATAAAGCAGTATAGAAATAAATGACTTGGCTTAATCGATGCACAGTAAGACAACAGATAAAGCAGATACTCAAATCAGAGACTATTTTTCTCTTTTGATCAAGTGCTATGGTAAAACTATTCTGTGGAGATGTTTTACTATGGAAATATCATGTTTTTTTTAACATGTAAAACCATACTATTCACTGAAAGCTATTGATGCCAATAAAGAACCTTTATTTTCATATCAGTCTTGAAAATAAAGGTTCTTTACTGGCATTTGATGGTTTCCTGAAGAACCTGTAACATCCATGGAACCTTTCCAAGGTTGTTTAAAGTGGAAAGAAGTTCTTCACAGTTTAAAAAAAATGCTCTTCAAATTAAGAAAAAAATTGTTATTTTAAGAACTGTTCACTAAAAGGTTCCTTGGGGAACCTTAAATCGTTCTTCTAAAACCCTCTTTTGCAAACTATTTGTAAGAGTGTATACATAAAGGAAAAGAGGATGGACAGACTGTCATCATTCCATCCAGCAGGCCGGTCTCGGGTTTGGGTGGAGCCTGCAGTCGCTCCATGGACCATTTCTCCACCACTGACGCCACATGAGGGTTGACGATGTTGAGCAGACGGAAACCCGTCATGTTCACGCCACTGTATCGGTACGGCTCCAGGTCCAACGCAAACAGATCCTGAAGTGTGTCAAAGTTACATCAATATATGAAGTTTAACAATAGATTCAAAGAGAAAGGAAACATTGAAATCGCATCATATGACCCCTTTAAAATGCTGCTTGGTTTCTAGCTATAGAGCACGATAGGCATGATATATTTTTGTAGGCCTAAACTCAGAAACAAACAAGTCAATGGGTTTTTAGTTAAATGCCTGAAATAAAGTTTGTGGTTAACACAAGCTCAAAATATTTTCAAGTTTTATTCTATGACATAAAATACATCAGCAAATACGACCTTGGGATTTTAAAAAAAAACTTTTTAAATAAAGACTGATAGAGCTGTTGAAGCTTAATTGGTGGTGTGATCGTGGTGAAGTTTGTTTATAGCCTATGTTTAGCTTTTTAATTCTGGCTATTGCAATTAGGCTTCAGAATTCATAATAGTTGTGAAGATTATCATGATGAACAAAACACGCAAGAATCATAAACTTTTGTTGGTCCCAGAGCTTATTTTCTGCAATAATCCAAAAGGCAATGGAAAAATCCTATTGTGTTTTTGTTGAGGGAACCAGAGAGATGTGAATTTCCAGATTGGCCTACAAAAAAATAAGTCAACCCTGCAGCACTTTATTGACTAAAAACAAAATGCAAATCAGCAGAACAAACCTTGTTGAAATTTCCAATCAAACCAATGACAGAACTAGGGTTGCAAAGGGGTGGAACATTTCCGGAAACTTTCCAAAAATCCCTGGAATATTAAAAAAAATCCTGGAAAGTTTCCAAAATTTCTGGAATGTTTCCGAAATTTACTGGAAATGTTTCACCTTTTTGCAACCCTAGACAGAACCAAAGAAAATCTCAAAGAAACCATATACAAAACTCACCAGCGTGGTAAAGAAGAAATGGTAGTATTCAGTCATCATGCCCATAGACAACAGCTACAACAGAAAGAGAGAGAGAACATGTTAAATCTCCATCTGCACAATACATCACTCATATTACAGTATGAACACATATCCCACAGATTTGATTTTCTCAGCCTTTCACATCATTTGTAATCATTCTTTTCCTCATTCCCAGTGTTAGTTAGGTTGAGTAAATGGTCTGCTGTAACGGGATGCGTGCGTTCAATATCTAGAGACCTGAAATCAAAACACTGAAATAAAGCATATCTGTATCTCTTAGAAAATACATCAAGAAATGTTTTTAAAAACAAAATGAAACCATCAAATGCATCACAACTGATGGGGATTTAGTTTAGGGATTAGTATTTTTTATTGCTGTAACACAGTATTGTGCAGTATGTCAGTGCATGACATCAGATTATTATGGAGTAATATAACAATATCTCAATATCAAATACAGGACAGGTCTTGTGTTTTAGGAAACAAACAGCCCATATATTTTACTTCAAAACTTTTTTCAGAACTTTCAAACAAGGCTTGTCTTTACAAACTTTGCTTTTCCCGTGAACAATTACACTCATATTCAAAATTCAAATTACATTCATTTAAATTCATTAAATGAATTTAAAAACTGAATTGGAGTTTGAAAGGCGATCTCAATTGAGTTCCTGGTGTGTTACCTGTTTGAGGACGTCTGCTGCGGTCTGGTACGAGCAGTCAAAGATGACACAAAACTCTTTCCCCTTCTTCATCTCTTTAAGAAGCGGCCGAGCGTCTTTACTTCCCATCGGTAACTGTCGGATTTTGATCTTGATGCTGTAGCGAGACGGAGCCTTTATCAGCTCCTGAAGACGAATTAGCCCTAAAAATATTACACAGACAAAATCAGCATAGATTAGAGAAATGCACTTCCATTCAAAAGTCTGGGGTCAGTAAGTTTTTTTTATTTATTTTTTAAGAAATTAATACTTTTATTAAGCAAATGTGACAGTTAACACAAGTATAATCTTAGAAAGGTTTCAAATAAAAACAGTTATTTTTAGTCATGAAATAAAATGTAGCACATTAATTGCAAAATCTAAACTCACAACTGAGAGTTTATCTCGCAATACTGATTTATAAACTTTTAATTCAGACATTTTTCCTCAGAAATGCAAGATTTCAAGATGTAAATTCAGCATTCTGAGGAAAGAAAAAAGTCTGAATTGAAAGTTTATAAATCAGTATTGCGTGATAAACTCTCAATTGTGAGTTCATATCTCAAAATTCTGACTTTTTTCACAGAATTTTAAGTTCACACTTTTTAGTAAGCCTTTTAGCACTGAAAAAAATGCACATTTGGTAATTCACAGGAACACAAATCTCTTTAGGATCTTAAAAATGTCTCCTAGATATAAATGACAATAAATAGATAGCAAATTCAGATCTGCTTTCCAGTTGCTTCTCCTGAGGGGGACAAAAAAAGACTTTTGGGATCTCATCAATGTCTCAAATAGCTCTATACTTTTAATGTATGTCATCTATAGCTCAAGAGACTTTCTCTGAACTTTCAGTCATGCTTCAAAATCCTCTATTAACATGTCTGACCCTTAAGTGTAAGATGAAGGTTAAAATGAGCACAAAACAGTTCATGGATTTCGGTCATAACGTCTCTAATCCTTAAATGACCTTTAATCCACATGACAACTACAGCCAAAATATGACAAAACAAATAAATAATACAAAATCTGCTTTAGTGCAGAACAGACACGCATATCTGTATATGAACACAAGATATTCAAATTATTGTCGGTCAAAATGTGAAGAAAACACATTCGGTGGGATGACAAATGCAAAACATACAAGCACTGTTGATTTCATGTTACGGTGGCCGAGAGAGCTCAACGCACTGCAAATGAAAAAAATACATGCAAATAGAAAAAACACCAGCAAATTAAAAAAACATCTTCATCAATTTGATAACACATGCGCTGCAAATTCTCACAACACAAACAAATACAGAAACGGCTGCAAATTCTCACAACACAAACAAATACAGAAGCTGGCTGCAAATTCTCACAACACAAACAAATACAGAAATGGCTGCAAATTCTCACAACACAAACAAATACAGAAACGGCTGCAAATACTCACAACACAAACAAATACAGAAACGCACTGCAAATTCTCACAACACAAACAAATAAAGAAACGCGCTGCAAATACTCAGAACACAAACAAAGAAACGTGCTTCCCTTAAACATTTGGTCTGTGCATATTTGCAGCGTGTTTCTGTTTTTGTTTGTTTGTTTGTTTTGTATTTGCAGCCGTTTCTGTATTTGTTTGTGTTGTGAGAATTTGCAGCATATGTGTTGTCAAATTGATGAAGATGTTTTCTTAATTTGCTGCTGTTTTTTCATTTGCAGTGCGTTGAGCTCTCTCGGCCACCGTACTCTCGGCCACCGTAGCATGCAGATAAAGACATTTATCATTTATCATACGACATTTACATTGATATAAAAGCAAACTGATCATCATTGATCATTTCACTCTGTGCTCAAATGAAAACAAACATGTTAACATTGCCATTCCTCAAACTGAGTAATACTAACTAAAGGCCGTAATGACAGTCCTTAATCTAACGAACTAAAACAAATATAATGTACATCTGCTCACATTATTTAAAATGAAAGAAATAACCTGCTAACAAAGACACAGACAATAAATGTGCCTATGTGACAATAAATTTGACCTAAAGTTCAAAGAGGTTTATAATATTTTAAAATATAAATTATAGTAATATATATCATATATTTTTTATACAATTTTATACGTGGATGGATGGATGGATGGGTGGATGGATGGAACTATGCCAAATTTGATGACCAATTGCATAAAATGGGACATTCTAATGGTAGTTTGTGTTTAGTCTTAGTACATTTTTGTGTTTGATGAATATGAGTAAAATCTATTGTTTAACATTTATGATGTTTGATCAAAACAGTTGTTGTTTTGTTCCCCTTTCTTGTTCCCTACAAATTACATCAAATCAGCACGTCGCCTGTTTTATAATTGACAACTCTGGAACAATCAGCGATTGGCTGCAAGCACCTGGAATAAACAATTTCAGCCTGATTTTTTTTGGAGAGACTGTGATTGATTGTAAGGAGGAGAGGTAAAGAACGAGAGGGCAGGGCTTCCACTCTGGGCTTAATGGTAGTTTGTGTTTAGTCTTAGAAAATTTTTGTGTTTGATGTATATGAGTAAAATCTATTGTTTAACATTTATGATGTTTGATCAAAACAGTTGTTGTTTTGTTCCCCTTTCTTGTTCCCTACAAATTACATCAAATCAGCACGTCGCCTGTTTTATAATTGACAACTCTGGAACAATCAGCGATTGGCTGCAAGCACCTGGAATAAACAATTTCAGCCTGATTTTTTTTGGAGAGACTGTGATTGATTGTAAGGAGGAGAGGTAAAGAACGAGAGGGCAGGGCTTCCCCTCTGGGCTCTGGTTGTGAATGACCTTTTGAGGCACCTTTCATGCTCACACTGAGAGAGCCTCGTGTGGGCGCTCAAATCCAGCCCTATAAACTCCAGGGTTCATTACGGTTAGCAGACCACACCGCCCGGAAGCCGCTCTGTTCCGTGGGAATATTTCATTCTCACAGGACGAATAAAAATACAGACTTTCTCGTCGGTAAGCTCAAGGTAATGACATTTCACTGTGGCTATTCGAGCAGAACCACTTATGTGAAAAGGGCATGAAAATCAAATATGTACTAAAGCTTCAGATGCTTAAATCGTTCCAGTGGAACCTCAAATTCATTTCATCATTCTTGACAGCTTCATCGTTTCACTAGCGTCTCTGTTCAGCTGCCATGTTTGCTTTAATGATGCTTTCTGTCTTATGATATGCTGCATAAACTATTGGCATTATATATTTGTTTACACAGCTATAGATTTCTTGTAAAAGCATGCATATTATAATCTTTCGCAGTATATAAAAAAACAGACTAGCTGAGCATCTTTGTATATCAAACAATATACTTCTAACATTATTATCACTGTTCTTCCATTCCAAAACCTAGTGAGCTGCCTACCTAGACAACATTTTAAGTCATCATAGGTTGTTCTAAAATGTACATTGTGCTGCCTTATAAGATACCTTATTTTGGCAACATCACCTGAGAAATCAGACACTCAATCCTACGATGCATTACAATGATCTCAGTGAGGAAATCCTTCTAAGAAATCACTTGATACCAAAAAGTATCTGTAAAATATGGAAGCTCGTTTCCACTACGGAATTTAAAATATATATATATATATTTAAAGGATAATTGTGACATTTTATCTCACAATTCAGACATTGTTCTTGCAAATTTTGAATTACATCTTGCAATTATGCATTTTTTTTCTCTGAATTCCAAATGTAGACTTCACAATTCTTTTTTTTTCTGCCACAAAATAAAAAATTACAAAAGGTAATTGCGACTTTGTAACTCACAATTCTGACTTTTTTCCCTCACAATTCTGAGATAAAATTGAGACAAAAAGTTACCTTTTACCTTTTTTATTTTTTATCCTGTGGCAGAAGTAAGTTTCAGTAGTAAAACTTATATTTAATAATATATAATATATAATAATTCATTTTTAAATATTTCAAAATTAAGATGTGTTTTTAATAATAATTTATTATTAATTACACACACACACATATAGCAAACATGGATTTTGACTATTTCATTCTAATTATAGTTGCATCAATAGCTTTGCAACATACTATTGTCAAACTCTATGTAAATCAAGAGAAGTGCAATCTGTATGATATTTAGAGTTGCTCCCTATTTAGGGTGTTCCAAATAAGTCACTTGGTATTCCGTTTCAGTTAGGATGCTGCCTTAGAAGTCTGCTGCCTAAGTGCCTATATAGGCAATATACAGCAAGGAAACTCACTAGGTTTTTGAACAAAGCCATAGAGTGCATGGCAGATATATAGCTCAAGCTGAATATATGACACTTAAAATATTTGATACAGCGTGAGAAATACATAACCACCTCTATGAGCCCTTAATAGAAGAGAAAAGAAAGGACAGCAACCACAAACTCTCTTGTTCATTCTTCACCAACCAGATTATATTAGAATATAAAAGCAGAGCAGCTCTGCAACAATAGCATTCCTTTTTTCATTCCTTTAAATGCTATTTCAATTTCCGGCTTAAATAAGAGCTGTTTCTCTCTTCAGGCAGCGAGGAAGTCAACCATGACGGGGTCCTGATCTGCTTGTTGCCGGGTTACTGGTTAAGGCACCTGGTTTTCACAGCTGTGTGTAAAGTCACTGATGTCATCAGAAACAAATGCATCGTCAAGGTTCACAGGACTGCAGGGCCAATGCTCCTCACAGCCCAACAAACTCAAGTGCTCATGACAGGGCTGAAAAAATGGCTTTTGTGCCGTGCTGAAATAAACAGCATACTGTACATTCAATGATATATGAATATAGTAATCTGTAGTATACCATCATACTTTAGTGCTGGATCCCAACCAGTTTGAAACCATGCGGACAGCCTAAAGTTGACATTCGTTTATCTTTTAAATTAAAAATTAAAACGCAAAAGCAAAATCCAACTCAATGTCCAATGCCCAAGAAGTAAATCAAGCCATTACAGGTTTTACTCTGCAGAAGCTCTACAAATTCAAAGTCACCTTGTGCACATGCTAATCCACCTCTGTAAACACACACTGCATGCACCATTTCGAGATTAACTAGCAAACACTGTCGTGAACAGCAAATCCGTTGGGAAAGTACCTCAAAGTGTCCAGTTTCACAAGCCTCTAGATGTAAAGCTCTCTGTTTGGGTTTACCAGCATGGAGCCGCTGCTGACACTGAATAATCAGGAAACCCCAGCGGCTCCATCGAACACCCATCAATCAGCCTGGAATCATCATCATCAAAACATCATGTGCTAACTCATTTATACACACAAACTAATTTTTAGGCCTACATTTAAGATTTATGTATTTGAACTGCATATAAAATGTCCATCCATTTGGATTAAACAGTTTTAACATAAACTATCTAATAAACTTAATGTGGTGCATTGTGTCAGTCATTCGTACTCTTAATGAAACAGGTAAGATTTTTGCACTCAAAAAATCATGCCATCGTTTATTATTTACTATTGGCATTTATTCAATTGTATTCAAATAATCATACTTTCAAAATGCATTTATTCAATCTGATTGGTATCTGCAAAAATCTGTTAATTGTGAATAGAATTTGGTTAGAATTTGGCTAGGTGTATTCAATTAGTTAAAATGCATGAGAATGAAAGAAATTGGATTTATTGATGATAAATGTAAATACCTGATTATTGCGTATTTAAAACACATTTAGTTTATAAGTACTAATACAAAAATCTTTCCTGTTTCTTACCTCTTTTATTTATGTATGACTGACAAATATGAATCACATTTGTTTATGCTAAAACTGTGTAATCCGAACCTATATACATTTTATATGCATTTCAAATACATATATCTTAAATGTAGGCCTAAATATTTAATATTTAAGTGTATTTGGCAGTGTTGGGGAAAGTTACTTTTAAAAGTAATGCATTACAATATTGCGTTACTCCATAAAAAAGTAACTAATTACGTTACTTAGTTACTTTTTATGGAAAGTAATGCGTTATGTTACTTTTGCGTTACTTTTAAAATCTGGACAGGGCTTGCCTGTTTGTTTTTCAAATAAAAAAGTTATATTTTTGGTCAATATAAAAGCCTTTTCACACCAAAAGTGAAATAAAAGTAACTCAGATATTCTCTTGTAAATTAAAAAGTAATGCGTTACTTTACTAGTTACTTGAAAAAAAGTAATCCGATTACGTAACTCGTGTTACTTGTAATGCATTACCCCCAACACTGGTATTTGGTAATAATCAAAACTGATATTAAATTAAAATAATATATTAATTAATTAATTATTAATGTATTCATTTAATTAAATTCTATTACAATTCTATTTATTTTTTATTATAATTATTTTTTACAATTTTCACTTTAATTACATTTCATTTTTCTGTTTCATTTTGTAATACTTCCAGTAAAACAATTCTTTCCTTTCTCAAACTCTCCTGTATATTCTAATTAAATTAAATTAAATTAAATTAAATTAAATTAAATTAAAAACATCTGTTTTAATTACATTTTTTATTGCATTTAATTAACTGTTTTATTCATGTTCAATATTTCCAGTAAAACAAGTCTTTCCTTTCTCAAACTCTCCTGTATATTCTAATTTAAATTTAAATTTAAATTTAAATTAAAATTAAATTTAAATTAAATTAAACGTCTGTTTTAATTAAATTTTTTATTGCATTTAATTAACTGTTTTATTCATTTTCAATATTTCCAGTAAAACAAGTCTTTCCTTTCTCAAACTCTACTGTATATTCTAATTAAATTAAATTAAATTAAATTAAATTAAATTAAATTAAATTAAATTAAACATCTGTTTTAATTAAATTTTTTAATTGCATTTAATTAACTGTTTTATTCATGTTCAATATTTCCAGTAAAACCAGTCTTTCCTTTCTCAAACTTTCCTGTTCATGTGCGGTTCTTGTTTATTTATAAATACTAGATGGAGGTCATCTCAAGGATCTCATTCAAAATTCTAATGTGACATTTGCGTATAGGGCACATATCACCTCAAAAGCAGCAGAGCATTATGGGAGCAAATTACAACTCTGATGAAAGTAAGGCTGAGCAGCCAAGCAAGAAACATTGAACATGCCAGATTCCTCCAGCATCCTCACCTTCATGTGACTTCCAGCAGAGATGTAGCAGCACAAATGAGGACTGCTTTTCATTAGAGAAGCGTTCCACTTTCGGACCTGCTTCGGTAGAAACTGATTACAGCAGTTTCTGATGAGTTTTGCTGTTCTCGGGTTCAGAGAGCAGATGCATCTGATTTTGCTGTTCTCGGGTTCAGAGAGCAGATGCATCTGAACCCACATAGAGTTTTTATCATTCAAAACACTGAGGTAATATTTTTACCCTTCAGAAATATAATACACAAATAGTTGGACCTTTGTGCAGAGAGATATTATTTGAACATCTGACCTATTGACCTATTATATAATCATCCAGTCATACACCAACATGCAAATTAGAATTTGAGAACAAACTGGGCTCAGTTTCAGAGAAAGAAACACTTGATGATCCTTAAACACTCAAATCATCATCGTGCATGAAGTTCACAAGCCATTTGCACTTCATCGGCAGACGTGTCTCCAGCTCTGACATCTTCGCAGGTGCTTTTGGGTAATGAGATGCTAATCAAATGAAGGCATCAATCAAAAGCGCGACTTTGACAAATTGCACAATTCACCATGAAGCGGAAAAAATCGGAATGAATTGATTTCAGGCTTTGGTGTTTGTAATGTTTGCGTGTCACACGGAAGACCTTGGTTTGTCTTTGAGACTGTTGACTCGAAACAAAGCTGTATTTCACTGACTGAACGAAACTCCAGTAAAACCAACAAAAAATAAACAATATTCTACTTAAAGCTCCATTTTGTAAATTAGAAATCTCGTATAAAAATAAGGCAAATGCATCTTCAAATAAGCAACAGTCCTTATAGCAAGATCAGTCCTCCAAACCTATTAGCACCACCTACAGTTCAGAATCTCACGCCAAAAGTTTTGAATAATTACGATTTTTTAAATGTTTTTGAAAGACATTATTATTATTATATTAAATTATATATTATTACAATTTAATAACTGTTTTCTATTTGAATATATTGTAAAATATAATGTATTCCTGTGATGCGCAGCTGAATTTTCAGCATCATTACTCCAGTCTTCAGTGTCACATGATCCTACAGAAATCATTCTAATATGCTGATTTGCTTTCAACAAGTAGTTTAGGTTTTAACTTATAACACTTGAATCAAATGGCCTGGAAGCAAAATTCAGAATTTTGGGGAAACCCGTCCTGATCGTCCTCAGGTCTGTGTTATATAATCATGAGACTGTGCCGGTTGAAAGTGATCGAGGGCTGTTGCTGTGAGAGTTGTGGACGTGAGTGTTGTGTCGGAGAGATGGAGCCCACTGCGATGTGAGTGAACCGCTAAAGGATCTGAGGACAAAGATGCAGTTGTTTCCTCCATTCATTCAACATCCCACATCACTGGATCACTGCCAGTGTGTGTGTGTGTGTGTGTGTGAGAGAGAGAGTGTGTGTGTGTGTGTGTGTGTGTGTGTGAGACTGAGATGCCTCGGTCTCTGTTCTGGGTACCTGATCGCTCATGGCCAATAAAATGCTTTGTTTTTAAGGCTTATACTCTTCTTATTATTATAAATACACAGCAAACAGAGATATTAACAGTCTAATGCAGTTAAAATATTGTTTTGAATGAAATACCAGCATCTGGTTCATCATATCATGAACATCACAGACAGTGATGCTTTACATAAAGTACTTTATAGGTGAATCTCACAGAATATTCTGTCAAGAACATGTCAAGCATAAGTAAATAAGTAATTATATTTTCATTAAGGAAATAGAGCCTATTTTAAGACCATAAAAAGGTACATTTTGACAAAATTGTCATGACAATTAAGTACATTTACCCCCCCCGCCCGCCCGCC